ATCAAACTGAGGATTTTTAGAAAATCCGGAAAGAGTTTTCGGGTTTTAGAGGTTGTTATTTGGCTGGAAAACCAATAAAGGCTTAACGGAAAAAACGGCGCCGGTCAGACCATATAGTTAGATGTCTAGCTTAAAATAAAACACACCCGTACTCTCCAGCTTGACGTATATTAAAAAATCTTGGAAAGTACTTCAGGGTCGTTTTTGAACGTTGATCTCTGGAAAACTCCTGAACGGTAAGACTTGGAGAGAAAAAAATTTTTTCATTTCCTAACTCATTGAGCCGAACATTTATTGAAAGTTTCGTCAAGAACTGATGTACGGTGTCGGAGATAATTTCTAAAGGGGAGGAAGAATTAAAAAGCAGGATTTCGGGTAATCCTAAGGGTGAGAAAATCGAGATATCTATCCAGTATTTAGTCAATAAATCTATGAGGACAAACTTTTAAAACAATATATTGTAGTGTTAGTCGTTTAAAGTGTTAGGATAGGTAAAATGATGATATCTGCCTAGTATTTCGATAATTGCTCTATATGGGCATATTTTTGGAAAGCTTCGTTGATTCTGAAAATCAAGCCCAGAAAATTCTCTCTCTTGCTATGTATGGGCATAGGCCGAAGTCTTTGAAATCGTACGAATAATTTGAGGAACAAAGTGAATGGTCTTCGTTGAACTTGTGACGAAAATTTATAAGGAATATTGTTTTCAAAGAGAGCAGGAGCAATTTTTAAAAGTCAGAAATGTTGGGAAGTAAAAAAGGAAGCATTTCCGATCATTTTCACTCAAAATCATATTGAGTCATTTTTTTGCAGAGCCGTTCCAGTGCTTTAAGACCAACCTTTGTGCTTTGTTTTTACAATGTTTACACTCCCGTATTCGCAATCCACGGCAACTTTTTGTACCGTACACGATAGAGAATTAAATTCTGCACAAAGTGAGACAAAAAGAAAGTTGAAGTCTTTGATTACTTTACAAGTCTTTTGACGGTTTTACTCACGTAGTATCAAAACTGCTGTGTCAAAAGTGTACGTTAATTTTTACATTAAAAAAATTGTAGTTCTCAGGAAATAATTTATTTTTTTCTTTTAAATATCAGAATTTGTAGTGCAGAATCTAACGATGCGCTCTTGCGACAAGCGTTGTTAATGGAGCTATAGCATTTTTACTGACTATGATGTTTTTGAAAAACCATAAAAAGCTTTTATCTTTCAGCAATTTTTTCGACTCCTGTTCGTTCCAGAACATAGTGATGATAGATGTAGATGCACAATAATCTCGCCTATCTAATGGTAAAAAGCATTTTTTAAGACAATGGAAGATCGTTGAAAAACAATTGTTTTATTGTATAGGTATCGCATAGATACCTATCGATCACACCTTTTAGTTTTCTCCGGAAACATAGAGATGTGAGACTTCAAAAATATACAGTTTAGTAGGTTTATCACCGTTTTACGCCATATATCTCGTCTGTATGTAAGATATTTAAACTGACAATTGCATGAGACATACATTATCTAATAATTGTGTGTATTTGAAAGGTGTACGTGGGTTAAAATAAGTTAATGTGAATGCTCGCATTTTTTTCTGCACATAAATAGTGAACACAAAGAACGATTATTAGGCTGATCAGCTTATTTCACTGTTTCGGTGTGTGATTATATAACTAAGCTATTTCACCTTTCAATCAAAGAGTTTGTCTAATGAAATCGTCTCAATTATTAATATATAAATCTATTGTAGTTGTAATTTTTTTTTCTTCCTATTGAAATCATTTTTTCTTGTGTTATGAATTAATTCATCATTTCAAATGTCACTTTCTGTTTTACCCATTGTATTATCAACAGTCGAAAACGATACGCTCGATGATGTCGTAGATGAATTGAAAACTAACCACTGAGAAAGGAGGGAATATTTTTTCCATAGTTCTATCGAATATTTTCCATTTCCGCAAAAGTCGATCAACAATGAGACACAGATTTGAATAAAGAGCAGTATCTGTGTTTATATTCATTGTACGATCGTCATATTCTTGTGACAAACTGATACAAAGCAATTTATCGAAAGATATATATCTATTTTCAGATTGATTCTGAATCACATATTAAGAACGTTCATAGGTTCTATAGAGTGGACAGAAGGAGAGAGGATTTGAAAAGTTATTATGTGTACGAGCTTTCAGGAAGAGTGGAATATTAACGTCATCACAAAAATTAAAACAACGTCTGTAGGAATTTGAAGGCGTTTTCGAATTATTTTGCTTTGATCTAGTCCTAGTAATTAAGATATCAACTGATACCACTATTTATCTAAATCAGAAAAAAATGGTCATCCGTGGGAGAAGGTTGTTTTATGTGAAGATACTGCGAAAAATCTCAAGGTAGTGTCAGAAATACGCGATGATCATTACATTGAACAAGACAATCAAAAAATTAATGACAATGAATATGAACATGTTCGGAACAAAGTGGACACATTGTTTGATGATTGTGCTGTATCATACTGTCATCGTTGAAACAAAGAGGAAGTAAAGAAGTACGATTCTGTCGGGAGTTCATTATTTGATGTTTATAGTCTGTTTAGATTGTGTGCATTGAGAATGCGTACGATGCCAGTGTACAATTGAAAAAGACCGAACAATCAACCACTCGTCAAAATATATCTTACAGAAGATAAGACTGCTAATTTCAGAGAAGAAAAACAAAACTTACCAGTTTTAAAAAACACGTCCTAAATGATTCATGGTGCACATCTCAGCTGATCCTACTACGTATTGAAATTTGATATCCATTGTCATGTTGAACATGATTTTTGTCCAGATAAAAATGTCTCGATTAGAATGTATTTCTCAAGAAGCCCAAAAATGTTTCTTCTATTTTCACAGCATTTAGTACGGTGAAACAAAATTTGCACTTAATGTGGCAATGAGTGCTTTCCCCGTTTTGTCTATGCAATACATATTTCTGTTTCTCAGGTAATTCGATAATAATTTACTCGAGTACGACGAGACATTGGAAACCTATGAGCTTTCAAAAACACGAATAATAAATAAAGATATTCAAAGGGAAAAAAGTTTTATAATAAAATCAGCAAATAATTAAAGTAGGGTTGGTGAGCACCACATATTATTTGAAATTATATACATGTACAATTCATTCATTCTGTAATTGTAGTCGAGACAGTTTTCCCTAAAATTTGAGCGAACAATGTCTTCAGTAGCGATACAATATAACGTTAGAACTCTCTCAAATACGATCATGAAATAAACTGACACTCTATATGCATTAGATTGCATTGATGGGATAGTGTTTACATTAGGAATAATGAAGAGTTTAGTGAAATTTTTTTTGTTGTAAGTTAAAAAACAAAATAAAGTTAGTTATTCATTTTTACTTCTCTGTATTGTTTCACTGCCATATGGACGTATATTTTCATTGACTAGCTTTAGATTACAAGGCATTTGTACTTTTCTGAAAAACGCGTTCGGCTAGACGATGCGAAAAGTTTTAAAAGTGTATATCTTATTTTTAAAATATTTTCGGCATAAAACTGCTGAGAAGAAGGAAAAAATTTGAACAATATATCGAACGATCTTTTCTTTGTCAATATAACCTGACCCAGATGAAGCATTAACAGATACTTCCCCTAGTACTTGTGACCAATTACTTCGCTTGCGTAATGAAGCCAGTATCTGTCTGTTTTTTAGAAGTAAATTCACTTGTAAGTACTTGTCCAACGTGCAAACACTTGATTTTTCACTTGACAAGTGCTTGAACAAGTGTTTGTCAAGTGAAGTTGCAGGTACTTGCATTGTTTTTAAGGTAATATAATTCAATGTTGCTTAATATTCACTTTGTAAACTTACGTTATCCTATGTTCGAACTCCACAAAGGAAATACGTTTTCTTAACAATAGCTTAGCTTTAACAATAGCTTTTAGTAAATGGGTAGTGACAAGCGGTCCTAACCCGTCTTACTCAAGCAACTGCCGATTTTAACCCTATTTTCAGTTAAAAAAAGTGTTCATAAGTAGTAAATAAACCCACATGTAAAACAAAAAGAGCTTGTAAAGAAAAGAGTAAGATACAGTTCCGACAAATTTACTTAATATAGATTTTCAGCATGCAGATTACTGTGGGAGAGAAACAGTTGAAAAATAATAAAATCTCAGTAACGTACATACGCAAAATAAAACGCTGAGGGAATCATATATATATTCAGAAAGTTTAGTTTATATTGCTATTCAGGCGTCGCTACAGTACTCCTACGCTTCTTATTTCTGTAAAAAAGCCCTTAGTTGCTAAGGACTTTCACAAAGTACTTCTTAGCAATAAACGCAAGTATTTCTACCATTGAGAAGTACTTACGAAAGTACATGGCAAGTGAGAAATTTCGAAAACACTTGCCAATTTTTCCAAATACTTACCAAGTAATTGCTAGGGTCTATTAAAAGTCTTGACAACTTTTCTAAACTATCGCCATGCGACCCACATACCACATACTCAAAATGTAAGGTAACTTTTCTAAAGTATGTTACACTTGAATAAAACCAAATCATTTATACAATAAAACAAAAAAATAATAGCTGTTCTGCCTGGTTGCATAAGCTTTCTTTTTTATTCTTTTATCTACTACAGATAGTCTATAGATCGGAACGCGCGTCTATATATTTCAGATTTAGAGATGAATAGAAGTTGTGACTGAATTATTCATATAGGTAAGGATCCAGTTGCTTGATATATCCCTATCAGCTCTTTCTGAATTGAGACCACTTTTTTGCACTCACTCTGCCACCCTCTGATGTTTGTTTGATGTAATTAAGACTTCCAAATTTTTTGATAAAAAGTGGCCTCAATTCGGAAGCCTCGATCTCTACCCATCCCTTGTCGGTATCGAAGTCTAGTCTATTATGTGATAATTGGGCTCGCTACTTTGTAAACACGAAACTACATTATATATATTTTTTTTCATTCAGAAAGCACCGGTCTATCTAGTTCTAAATAATGGCTCTCGCAACAGCTCAAGCAAAATTAAGTAGTCAAGAAAAAGAAAAACTGAATGATTTGACGGATCAATTGCAGAAACTTGAATGGGAGAAAGGCGAATATTTCTTTCATAATTTCGTCGATTATTATCAATTACCACAAATTGTTAAAGTCGAACAAAATTGGCAAACAGGTCTGGCGAAAGGACAAAGTCTGTATTTACAAGCATTGTTTGATAGATACATGTTCATTGCCACACCACTTAGTAGTAGTAGTAGTAGTAGTAGTAAGAGTTCATCGAAACCAAAAAATAAATATTTAATTCCCGATTGGTTTCAAGGTGAATGTAAAATATTATCAAAAACTCCTACATTAAAAAAACGTTGGTGGATATTTCAAGGTGCTTTCGAATTATATCGTTTTGATTTACCACGTGAGATTAAAATAGTAGCCAATACTCCGGCACATGTAAGAACATATGAAAAATTATCAACAACACATGAATGGAACAAAATTGTTTTGCGGAAAAATGCTTGGTTAACCGTTGTTCGACGAGAAAAATATCAGTCGAGAGTAAAAAATGATAAGGGTGAATTAATTGCAAGCGAACCCAAAGAAGCATTCGTACTACTGGATAAGGAACGAAATGAATTTATTGTACCACCAGGTGTTCCTCTACGTTTTGCCACATTAATTGAGGAAAGCGAGTTACATAGTGAATATCGAAATCATAAAGGTTCATTTACATTTCCAGAGATAATGATGCGTTATGAATTTCCCTTGGATGTTGAAATTACGACTCATGTACCTGTTGATATACCGCAGTTTAAAACACAATTAAGGTTAGAAAAATTTTGTGTAGCCAAATCAGTCATTGCATATTTGTTTGGTGGTGATACTAAAGAAGCGCAAGTACTGGAATTATCACCATTGACACAATTTACGCTTCACTGTGCAAAGTACGATAATATCAAATAGTAGAAAACTAGTTCTATCTGATGAATTTGTGTCTTCAGATGTCTGACGTATGGTTTGCCGCGTGAAGGTGAATCGAATGAAAAGGGAAAAGAAGAAAAGTTTGATGAAAAAGAATATCAAACGTATGAAAGTATCCGTAGTCAAATGAATTTATTGTTTGATGATGCTGCTGAAGTTTTCAAAAGTAAAATACAATTGGGAACACCTGAGGAGGTAAATAGACGTTAATGTACAGTAGTAATGATAATATGACGTCCATTTTATTGAAAGGTTGAATGTATTGAAGCCGCTTACGAGATAAGCATGGATTTGAAAACCGAAGAAGATCGCCCATTGAAAGACGCCTATTTTTCACTGGAAGATGCCGTTAAAGTAGCCAAAGAAGCAAGCAAAGATGAAATACCATTTCCAAAATCACACCCGAAAAAGTTTACTGTTCACGCGTCAGCTGATCCAAGTAACTTCATTTTAAAAAAGCTCCAGAATTGATTTTTAAGTGATATATATCTGTGGTGTATTTTATTTTATTTTTTTATTTTTTGTATAGGTAATCCATATAATGAGGTAATCGATTACGAAGAAATGGATGCTCTAACGGAACCCATTAACAAACAAGAAGCAAAAAATGACAGTAAAACAAGTGATAAAACAGCCAAAAGTGGTAGTGGAAAATCAAGTCACAAGAGTGGCAAAACATCGACTTCGAAACTTGAACAACCACAAAAACCATCAAACCTGCCATCAACAAGAGCAGCACTCGTGGTACAGCAACTACCGCCACCAGCGTCACTACCACCGTAAGTCATTTCTCCTATCATGAATAAACTCAACTCATGCAATTAGTTTTACTATTTCTAGTGAAGCATTTGAAAGAACGCTCAAAGCTATCCCTGAAATATTATATACGAATTTTATTCCAGCAACGGTTATAGCAAAGTAAGTTTGTTATTGACAGGTTCTTCATCGTTCTATGATTATACAAACAGATTCTGTATCTTGTTCTTGTATGGTTACCAAGCAGTATTCTAATTGACCGGTATTGCATTTCAAAAAGTGATGGAAATTTGTATCCTTAGTGTTTTAACTCAGCAAACTTCTTTGTATTTCTAGCGAAGAATATAGTTTAATATTATACATTTTGATCCATACAGGAAATGAAGTCTTAGATAGTGCATGAATTCATAGAAAAGTATATCTTTTTTCTGTTCTATTTAGAAAAACTGAAAAATCTGACAAAGCTGAAAAATCTGACAAAGCTGAAAAATCTGACAAAACTGAAAAATCTGACAAAACCGAAAAGTCAAAGACCGAAAAATTAGAGAAAAAATCATCCAAAGCTGATAAAGATAAAAAATCGTCAAAAAAGTAATCTAGAATTGTAGATTAAGTGGATAGAAACATTGGATGGATAATATTAGAACAAGACTCTTGAAATATTGTTTGTCTGTTATATTTTTTCGTGTTTTTAAAGAGAGCTACGTCTAAGACGTTTTAGAAGACGTTGTTTACTGTGGGAAGGATGCTGCTAAATATCGTGGAGCGAGCAGTTTGGGAATAACATTATGACATGGGTTTGCTCGATTTTAAGGAATTGCTGTTGCTGTCGTTTCATAGTTTCACACTCAATTGTTCACTTTACTGAACGGCTAGATAGATTTCATAATGGCGAGGTTTCAAATACACTTATACACTATTGATTATAATTTTTATTCGTAATTGTAGTAGTGACCCCGATGTGTCCATAACTAACTTATAAAGATCACACAACATCAAAAGTGAGTAATGACAGACGGACCAAGGCTAAATCTTAAATCTGGTTGTAAATATTCTTATTTTTCATCAAAAACTGCATCCGTTCTTTGATATCGATCTTGCATCTGACAACAATATATAAACATGCAACAGAAACATGAAACTAAGTTTAATGGCGCTCGTCACTTTTTACAATGATAACTTTCTATATACATATATATACATACATATATTTAGAACAATCGCGTTATGATTAGGTCTGCCAGAAAACTAAATGCTGAACGACATTCTACATGATGAATCAGGCTATTGGGCGCAATGATTTAATACTACTATAGACTCATGTTTATAATTTAATGGATAAAACATTGTAAATATCGCATAAAAATAACGTTTTTCTGAACAATTCTTCACTATAGAGAAATTTATATGACAAAATCAAAGCCATCTTTATGTAACTTTCAAGAAAACCAACACCAACAGATCGATAGAGAAATGTAGATGACTACCGATCTGTTTATCATCAAAATAAAAGAATTAATGCAATAGAAAAAACCTTGTCAGGGTGGCCTCTCTCGGGGCTAAAATGGTGAAACTCCTTTGCAGGTCTTCCACTTTTAATAAGTAAAGCACTGTTACGTTATACTAATATTGTAATTAGGTATGCACCAGTACCGGTACCAGTAAAAGTGCTCCACAAAAGATTAAGACCTTTTTTGTTTTTGCAATAACTCAACTTTCTTGATAGATACAGACTCCGTTCTTTCGCCAAAAGGAAGCCTACGTTGAATACTATAAACCCTGAGAAAATGGTTAAGTTCCGGCTTAATTTGACTGAGCTAAAGCAAAAACGCGGTGTTTTACACAATTGGAAAATCTTACTTCCTGAGTATTTCACGTTTCCTAACCAAGAGAATTGCGCAAAAAAAATTCAAAAACACATCATTCGATAGAAAAATTTACGGGCTATCCGTTGCTGATCAAACTTTCAGGTTTTGAGCAACTAGAGATTTTTCACTTTATTTCACATTTTTTTTACCAAAAGATAAATATTTTTTCGTGATGTTTTTTGGGCTCAGAGAGACATAATAATTTAATTTTAATACCGATGAATACTTTTACGATGAATGTCGAAAAATAGGTCAAAATCAAGACTTTTTTAGTATAAAACTTCAACTCCTTCTCCTTTGAAGAGATACTGAAGGAGTTTCACAAAGAGAGTTAACGTCATGAAGACATCTTACTACTACTGGAATCACAAACACTGCTACATAACAATTTGCGTAAACAAGATAAAACCAGAATACAAAACAAGAATTGATAAGAATAGGAGTAGTGCAATAACATCATATGTACATTGTTCAGTCAAATATTAACTCGTAGGCTTTGTATAATGCAAGAAGAATCGACTGAAAATTACAGATAAGTTAAATATATAATGACCACATGCAGATAAACAAAAAAGTTGACTTATATTTCAATGAAAGATACCGTATCAACGTGATTTTCCAAAAATCTTCCAGAAAACACTTTCAAAGAAGATTTCAAACTTATTTTTCTGGAAAATGTGCATCAAACTAATACGTGCAAAATCGCGAAAATCACAAGTTTTCGCACATTTATAAAAAAAATTATTAAACAACAACTGTAGCTACCTTTCTATTTTATAAGTAATATTTTTCTTAAAATCAGGTGTTTTTCATTTTTACTTGATTCCACGGAATCTTTTTTGAATAAAATGTGAAAGGAGAATGGAAAATTATGTTTTTTGGGGGGGTTTTCATTTAGTTAAAAAGACATTTAAAAGAGAACAATCAATTGTTTAATCGTTTAATTTAAAGAATGATTAAATTGTTGTTCCAACATCCCCTGCAAAACTTTCAGTGTCACAAGGAATAGCTTAGTATCGACAATATCATTTCGACACATTTCAAAACTTCCAGAAATTGTATCAGTCTGCTCATACAATATCAATACAGCGATGATATTGTACGTGTAAATGTTTTTGTAAAGAATATATTGCAAACACATCCCTGGACTTAAGATTTTGTATGACATACGTACAGTTGGGAGGATCGCATGTCTGTGGGTAAAAAACTGAGAGAAAGATCGATTTAAGACAAGTCTTGCTCTGTTATTTTAATATATCGTTTGGATCTCTACTGATGTTTTGATAGAGAAAGGAATGGCCGTCGCTGGTCAACTGTTGGTTCGACATTTGTCTTTCTTCTTCTTTGATTACTTAATTCAATCGGTTATTGCAGAGAAACAAGAGTTTCAATTGAAAATAAATGATGGAAAAAAATAATTGTTTGGTATATAAAGAGAAAAAAAGAGATATCTACCACTTTTGTGAAGCTGTGCTGCAGGCGAAAATATTTTAAGTTATTTTCTTTGAACTTTTCCTGGCATTTCGATATAATTTACACATCTTTTGAAACTTCCCCCATAACTACAAAATTCTGAGCTTTCAAATATTCTCCTCCATTATTTTTTCTGTTATTTTAACGAATGAAGGAAAAATGAATATTTTTAAACAATATTCTATAAAACATGATGAAATCAGTGTCTCACTGCCTTCAGAAAAGCTTTTCGGAGGAAGGGACCTCTTTTGAACCTGAAATTTGTGCTTTTTACGTTGTTCTATGCTAGAAGTTGATACTCGCTTAAAAGTCTTCGTCCGGGTCAAAACCATGATAAAAAATGTGAAAGAAAACTTCCACTAAGCCCTATAAATTGTGAGGATTCATATGACATATAGGATTCTAAAAGAGATCATATAAAGTAACAGTTGAGGATTTTGTAAAATATTAAAAATCAAAGTTTTATTGTTTTTGCAAAACTTTGTGAACTTTGGGTAATTTAGAAGAAAAGTATGAAACATAAGCTTGATTTTATGTAAAATCGAAAGAAATTCATGATTTTATAAAATGGATTTATAAAATCTATGTTATTGATAAAACTGAGCATTGCGAGTTTCGTAGCAGAACAAAACTTTTCATTTTCGACCATGATTTCAGCTAAAGTAAAGGTTCTAATGTATATAGAAACTTGTTGACTTATTGAAGTCTAAGCGCTCTACTGCCGCCGTCGAAGTCCATAAAATACCTTAGAAAATGCCGAGCCATACAATTCTTAAGAAACTTATCAGTTAATGCTATTTTTAATGAGTTAAAATACTGAAATTGCCTATTTCCTCATCAGTCTAGTTTACTCTACTAAAAAAGCGTTTCACTTCTTACAATTTCTTTAATTTTCATCTGCCATATTGTTCCTCCACGTATTTTTCTTGTTTCGGTAGATTTTTTACCAATCCTTCTTTTAGCTGTTATCCGCTGTTATTTCGGGCTAAAAAGGAGATATAACAATTGCATCTTGTATTGGGCTTCTTTCATATGAATATACATGTCAACGAAATCTATTTTAAGATTGCCTCTAGAAGGTGTTCGAATACTTGATCTAACACGAGTGTTAGCTGGTCCGTATGCAAGTCAAGTGCTCGCTGATAACGGTGCTAATGTAATCAAAGTAGAAAAGCCAGGTATATTTTTGAAATAATAAGGGTACTTAAATGGTATATGCAGTAAACTAACACGACATTATCTGTAATTTTCAGGCGGTGGTGATGACACAAGGACATGGGGGCCACCATTTGTTGGTAGTCAAAGTGCTTATTTTCTCAGTGTGAATCGTAATAAACGAGTAATGTTAATACAGAATGGTATGAACGTAATAATGATTTACTCTTTTCATCTACTCTTTAGAGTATTGCAGTCGATATTCGCAAGAATGACGGACAAATGATTCTCCATGAGGTAATATTCATGTTCCAGAAAACTGGTTCGAGTTTTACAATTGAAATTTCAGTTTTAATGTTGTGTCTCAGCTTGCTAAAAAAAGTGATGTTCTTATCGAGAATTATCTTCCTGGACATTTGAAAAAATATGGTCTCGATTACACTAAACTGCAGAGTATTAATCCGAAACTAATTTATTGTTCAGTGACAGGTACGAAGATATATTTCTATTTCTTGTTTTTGTTTTGTACCAAAGTGTTGAATTTTATAACTGTTTCTATTTTTCTTAGGTTTTGGAAGTAAAGGTCCGTATACTAAACGACCTGGTTATGATGTAATTGTTCAGGCGATGGGTGGACTAATGCACATCACCGGTCCATCGGTTTGTATTAATCAGCTAATTTTTTTTTGAATTGTTTTTGTTATATTTTTTTGAATTTAGTTATAGGATGGTGAGCCGGCAAAAACAGGTGTAGCCATGATAGATATAGCTACAGGATTGTATGCCGTTGGAGCAATCTGTGCTGCATTATATCACAGAGAAAAAACTGGCCATGGAACTAGAATTCAAGTTTCTCTGCTTGAAACACAAGTTAGCTTTTTATTCTTATTACAAAAGATTATCTTTCTTTCTTATCTTTTTAACATATTTAGTTAGCCGTTCTAAGTCACATTGCTGCAAACTATTTAAACACAGGCATCGAAGCCCGTCGTCATGGAACAGCACATGAAAGCATCGTTCCATACCAGGTAAATATAAATAAATTAATTGTTTTGATGTTAGTTATCCTTTCTATACATGAAAGGCTTTTTCGTGCAAAGATGAACAATATTTGGTAATAGCTGCAGCCAATGAACAGTTTTTCAAAGAATTATGTATAGTATGTCATCAGGTCTTATTCTCAAACACATTTTTCTCTAACCACATAAGTATTTTATCTCAAGCTTATTGGTCTCGAAAATTTGTTGACGGATGAACTTTACAAAACAAATAAACTGCGAGTCAAAAATCGTCAAAATCTTATACAAATGATAGCTGAAAAGTTAGTTGAACATAATAATTGCTCTTATGTATATCACATCTAACTATGACTGACTATCTCTATTACAGATTTAAAGAAAAACCTTTATCAGAATGGTTAAATTTATTTCAAAATGCCAAACTTCCTTATGGTCCAATAAATAATATGAAACAAGTATTTAAAAATGAGCAAGTGAGACTAAGACAGTATTAAAAAAATGCAGATATATTTCGAAGAATATTTTTAGGTCAAAGCATGTGAACAAATTCTTGAATTCAAAAGTAAACATCACGACAAGCCAATTTACGTAGTAGGTAAGCTGTCGAATACCATAATCATTTTTCAAAATGTTTACAACACTTTTTTATATCGATATTTCAGGGCCAGCAGTCAATTTCGACGATATTAAAAAAATAGAAACATTTCGTTATCCACCACCGTTACTTGGTGAACACACAAAAACGGTACTTCAAGAAGAACTGAATTATACTGATGAGAAAATTAAATATTTGTCAGAACAGAATATCATAGAATGTGCTGATTAATACTGTTTTACTTTCGTGATTTGAGGTTGTTTGTTTTACGTTGTATGTCAACCACAAAACAGATAAAAGTTCGATTATTAACAAGGATTATAAAAACAATGATAAGGATGAAAAATATACTATGACTTTCATTTTTCTCTAAGATTAGAACTCTAAAGCTCACTTAAAATCATAGAACAGAATTCATGGTTTACTGTCTCTAATCTGACGTATTATCCTCCTTTTTCATAATCAATTAAGAATGTAATATAATAATATAGGTTTTTACTTATCGTACTTTCATTAGTCATAAAAATAGTAAATAAGTCCATATATAAAATTGCAAAAAAATCGTATTCACAAAGCTCAGGAGAACAAAACAAAATTAAAAAAGAAAACAAAATATACACGTACATATTTTTTCGTGTTTAAAGAACAAACACGCTGTACATTTCTATGTATACAAGGATATCACAAAAAGGTTAGAAAAAATAAAAGAAAATAACAACAAATACTACTGACTATGCATACTCACATGTTTTTAGTAATAAAGCTGCGTGGTCAAACACAATTTTCATCAACATTTTGAATTATATTCGTCTTCACTTATATTTTCCAAGTCCAAATAATCACCATGTTTATATTTATGACGTAACTAAATAAATGAAGAGCTAGTGTATTCTAAATAAAAAGAAAATAGTAAAATATTTACCTCATGCATATAAAGTGCACTGTAATTCATATCCAATTGTGCTGTTCCAGGAATACCTTGTAACGGTGCTAATTGAGGATTACTAAATAGTTGTGGATCGGATAATTCGAACATAGCTGTATGGATTCTAAATGCAAAAAATAATATTGTTTTATTAGTCGGTATCAGTTTTAAATTCTTTGCAAACTTAAAATAGAATATAGTACCAGATGAACAGATATCTCTTGAGATATCTTCGTAGTACTTCTATGTCATGTTTTTAAAATTGAAGTGTGTGTGTCTATGTATCTTACTTGGACAAAATACCAAATGGTGCTGTACTTCTGTAGGGTAAATCGGCTTTTGATGTAGCACCAGTTAAATAACTTTGTGATAATTCAGCAGATGGAAGCCCTGCGAGAGGTGTATGACTCATCGTCGTCGGTGATGTATAGTGAAGTTTATTAGTCGAATGTTCTTTTGGTTGTTGCGTTGTTGTTGTTACATTATTAAAGAATGAATGGTCATGAGATACTGAATTAAAAAGAAAATAAATTTAGCATCCATTCTTCATTCTTCTTTTTTCTCTCCCTCTCTTTCTTTATCATACCTTGAGGATCACTGTAATAAGTTGTTTGTAATCGTTGAATATCATTAATCGAATGTTGGAGTACGAATGATGTTTGAATATTTTCGAGTGCTATAAAATAAAAAGATAAATATCAAAGTATTTAAAAAATATGTGAATATTTACCTCTTTCTTGGATTTTTTCCAAATATTGTTGACATTGTTTTGGCATTTTCCATTCTGGATTTGTGTGATGAAAATGCATCAGAGATAATTCAAGTTTACCATCATTCATAACTGTTGCTTCATGATAAGAGGATAATGGTCTCGCAGGTGAAAACCACTAAAAAATGAAACAAGTTTTGATTAGTAATTTATATATTTAATTTTTACTCTTACTTTTAAATCTCCATGTTTAGCAACATCCAATTGTGCAAAACTACAAACATCTCCAACACCTTGAACATCCACTGTAAAATTACGTAAAAAGTCGATTATTTGTATAGATTTATGACGAAATTGAAAACATAATATCAATGGCGTGATGAATGGACTTAATAGTTCTTCAATGAAATACATCTTAAGAAACAAAAAAGAATTGAGTATAACTAATTGCAGATCCCTATTTAAATTATTTACATATTTAAACTGAAACATTTGTGCAAATTCAGTTTGTACATAATCTGTATGAGCATGATTTTTCCATCCATCTGGTTGATAATGAACTTGAGCAAGTACTAACTGCATCATTTGTTCTGGATCAAAAACAGTGTGCTATAAACAAACAATTTGCAATATGTACTGAAAGAATGAAAAAAGATCACATAATATTATACTTCATCGGGTATAAGTGATCGACAAATTCCTAAAACAACACCAAGTGTTGTCATCGTTGTTAACATATGTTCAACATTTAATACATCTTCGTCAAAAACTGTTAATACGATTAATACAGCTAATATAGCACCTACTGTAAAACTCACAAATCTAAAAAATAAAATTCAAGTGTATTATCTCAGAAAAAAATGATTAAATATTTTTATTCATTTCTTACTTTGCAATTTCGACGATACTGTAATTAACAAAGGAATTCATATAAAATATAGCTGGTTTATATCCACGATTTAAACGTTGATTTAATGAATGATCTAATTCATTGAAATGTCTCAAATATAAACGACCATAATTACTCCATCGACGACTACCAAGTACGCCAGGTTCACGTCGAACAAGCTAAATCATAAATAACATGTGTATTCATATAGATTGACTAATTTAATAAAAATGACTTACTTCCGTATAACCATAGAATAGATTTAGTACTTGCCAAATGAATATAAATGGTGACAAAAGGAGATTGGTAATACCATATAATAAAATAAATTGTGATAATCTAAAGAAAATAATCATTTCATGCATGTAACAGTGCGAAAATAGACAAACGTACTGTTTTGCTAAAGCATCACGTTGACTGTTAATTTTGTATTCTTGACGTAAATGCCATCGTTGATCGAATGGAGCATATGGTCCCCCTAAACACTTTTTAGTTAAAGATGTTTCAATCAAAGTAGAATTGAAAACTTACAGAACAATATCAGCCTCAAATTGAATTTAAATCCATTTGTAAAACATATACTAAATAAGAAATGAAAATACATATCTTTATCCATTTTTATCCACATTTTCAACTTCAATTTTTCTTTTCTAACTCATCCACTAATTGGAATCTTCATTCTATCTAATATTTAACCAAAGAATCAATTAAAATACATACGTGTCTCCAATAAATGGAATAAAGATCTTTGGTGGTAACAAGCCTTTATTAACCATGGCTACTTCATAGTTTTTAAAACGTAATAAACGATTGTGTATATCTAATTCAGTTAAAATTTGTTTATGTATACATAAATCATGTTTTAATTGTGCTTTTGATAAACGTTGTTGTACTTCATGCCAAGTCATATTTGACAAATCTTTCTAAATATAGAACAAAAGATACATGTGATCAACAAGATATATAAAAAATTTAATCAAGATTTACGTACTGGTTTAATATCAAGTGCTTGTGAATAGAACAATCGTATATTATAAAATAATAATAAATTATAGACAGCACGACAAAAACGATAGATCCAATAGATTATAGCTAAGACAATACATATTGATGTTAATAAATGTAGACTGGAATGAAAATAACGAATTTATAAAATGATATTAAAAATTTAATTTTTTAGTAAAACATACTGTCGAAGACATTGACTAGGAGATTGAACAACATCATTGAACTGAATTTTTCGTGTCATATTTCGTGCAGTTGATGATGTTCGAAATAACATTGAATAATCAATACATTGAACAACAAGAATAGTAAATGAAACAATAAATACAAATTGTCTAAAGAGAGAAACAAAACAATCTCTATAAACTAAGACTAAAAACAGCAGTTCGTCTGCAAAGATCAAGTTCGTGTGTTCGATCCTAGCTTCGTGCAAGGATTGATTTTGTGTTTTGATAGTTTAAGTTTCAGAATGATATAATGGGAATTTATATTCTCGATTTCGTTCTGGTTCAAGATTAAAGCTTAAACCGACTAAAAACACAGTCAATGATGATACATACACAAGTCCAAGAATTTCAGATAATACAATGCAAAAAAATCCATGACGTTGATGATATTGATAAACACGCGAAAAAAAATCATCTAAATCTTGTTGATGGCTCCAACGTGATTCTAAAAGAAGAAGAAAATAGAGTGACATAATTCATAAGCAAAAAAACTTCTGTTATAGAAATTCTCAGAACGTATTATACGAACGTTTTTCATTATTTTCTGGGTAATCTTGAGATGCATCCTGCATGAATGGTGTAAGTATTTGTTCGTCTGGATCATTTTCCGTTTCAACATTTGGTATTGCTTGATATTCCATATTTTTATTTATGATCAGATGACATACGGTTAGTGTCGTTTATTTTTATTCAATATAACCACTGTTATGTAGATACAAAATAACAAAAAAAAAGTTGTATATGATATCTAAAAAGAAAAAGTGTAATAAGATGCAAAATCAATTATCAAATTTTAATTCACTGAACATTAAAAATATGCCAAAAGAAAAGAATTGAATCACATCGATATTTATTTTTAATACAGAAAAAAAATACATATTTATTCACATTCGTCGACCTTTACGATTCATATTCGGTATGTAAGTTTTTTCTGTCTCTTTCTCACTTGAATTTACGTCTTCTTGTTCATCATTCGAATTCAACGCTTCTTCTGTTTCTCCTATTAGATCACCTTTAATCGGAAATAGATCACCAGACTCACTATGTTGAGATAGACGATGAACGCCACTTTGAAAAAAAGACTAATTTTACATTTTCGTTCATAAAAACAGAGAAGACAGTGTTACCTTCCATATTTATTTTTTGATACTGGTATATTAACAAATTCACCATTAGGACAGCAAAGACGCACATGTTGATGATGTTTTCGTTGAATTACAGGTTCAATTACTCGTGGCCATGCTGCATACATATCTATACAAAGTAAAGAAGAGAAAATGGAATGTTTAAAATAATACATTTTCTTAGTCAGATTCATTTTGTACGTACCATCTGCTTGTTGAACTGCTTTATGAATCACAATATAAGATGATCGAACTGTCTTGAGGGGTCGGGTGCTCTAAAAATAAAATTCAGTTTTAACGACTAAAAATGTAGAACTCGAGCCAATAAAATTACCTTTTGAATATCAAAAATCTGTAGTGGCTGATATATTGATTCAATGCGACATGGAATATGTAATTTTTTCTTTGGACAAACCCAATTATGGGGACACTGTATTGATAAACAGACGAACATAAAATATAACCATGATGAAATTACTCTTTTAATTTTTCGACATACCGGAGAAAAAATATAAGCGGGAGATGGATGATATTTTTGCTCTAATTCATTATCAGTTGCAGATGAATTTTCCAATGATGCATTATTACTAGTAGAATCCTCTTCTTTTGGTTCTTCAAACGTTGCCAAACGCTAACAAAACAGATATGTAATAAACAACAGCAGAGAAATATTTGATCAACCTACATATAAAATGTGCTCGCGTGCTTCATTTATAGCAGAATAACCCGACATATTGCCACGCTCAACGAAAACCTAAACAAAAAGAATAATTAAAAATCTTGTCATTATGACTTTTGGACTCACTCACCAGAAATCCGCCAGGTTTAACATTGTACCATAATGACTGAACAATATTCAAACGTTCACGACGGTTTTCAAATTCGAATAGTGTATGATCACAAACAACAAGATCAAATGTATTCTAAATATGAACACTATCAACCAACTTCAGTAATTCTTTCAATAGTAAAACTATTTTCGTTACTAAAAAGACTCACTTCTCGTCCATGAGGAGCGAATTGCCGATAAATAACACCTTTGACTTGCATCGGCTTATCCGGTCTTCCATCTAAAAAAGAAAGTATCAAAATAGATTATGTGAAATTATTCACTATACTTTTACCTTGCACGATCAACTGTGAAAGATTATTCATATCACGAGATTTGTCAACATTTAACAGTTCAATAAATGCATTTTTACCCCAAACGTTTAACGCAGCCCTGTAAATAAAAATTTAAAAAAAAGATCAGATTATATGCGATTGCGATTTTACATAAAACTTGTAATGACACGAACAAATACTAAAGACCTTTTGAGAATGTTAGTTATTAATAAGAAGCATCAGCTAGAAATCAGTTTATCAAGAAAAATAGCAATTGACCATACCACATCGCAGAGCCCACTCCAGATCCATAATCCAGCATTCTCATCGGTCGAAAATTAACTGCACGTTCTTTAATCTATTAAAAAAAATGTAACAATGTAGAGTACAAAACAAAGAAAAAGTATGACACCTTACTTCATTAAATATTTGTACAAGCATACCGTAATGAGGGGCTATATTTCCAGCTAAATAGATTTTTGACCGATACTCGTCCAATCTAAATAACAAATTTGTTCTTATCTTTTTCTATTTAATAGCACATAATACATACCGTAATGGTTCCCAATGGTAAACACTTTTTCTCAATCGTTTCATCATTTCAGTTTGCCTTCCAGTATCAAGTTCCGTACGCTGTTCTGGACTTAATGCCAATATATTTATGGGCGCTAGAAATACATAGAAGAAGAGAAAACTATCGTCTTTTCTCACCGTTCTACTGCTTACGTTCTGCTTCAAGCATATTTTTTACAATATTTTTTGCGAGCTCCTGTAAATTTTTATTTTCAATTGGTAAATGTCTACTCTCAAGATAATCGTCTAATAATTTTACATCATTCTTTAATTGTGTGGGATTTATATCTGTAATACATAGAAAAGAACACTTTCATTATTGAACTTAAAGAAAAATCAGTCAAAAGATACAAATACTAACCCGAAATAATTGTATTTATTGTTTCTTCAAGTTTCTTTGGAAATGATACTTTTAAATGAAATTTTCCTTTATGTTGTTTGAAATAAGCTAATTTTCGATTATTTGATTGAAGTTGACCAGCTACAGTACTATCCAATTCGACTTTTAAAGTAGCAGGAACATTTTGTACAAACTAAAGTTGAAGAAAGACTTCGAACAAAATAATCGTGTTAATATGAGAATACTCACTCTGTATGTGTTGAAATTCTGGGAACGTTTGGCACATAATTGTCGAAATATACTACGCATCATAATCTATAAAAAAAAAACATGGTACTTTCGCTTAAGATACTTTTTAAAATTTCATTTGTTAGAAAAGTAGTAACATATATTCGACCAATACACATGTCATACGTTTCCATTTTTTTATTGTACTAAAAAACAAGCAAGGAAAATCCAAATATACAAATAAAGTTTAACCACGAAAAAAACATTATTTTTGAAAAATCGTACGTAAAGAAAAGAAAGAATAATAATATCAAAGTCCTAATGACTTTTTTACACTACGTTTTGCTAATTCATTAAATTTGTCACGTTGTTCTCTCCACATCTTTGCAGCATCTACGTTTGCTGGACTGGCATCGTTCGGTTCTAAAATGATAAGTATGTCAATATACTTATTAAAATGTGTTAAAAAAGCTTTCAAGTGCCAGAATAAAGAAAAAGTTTTCGAAAGTTAAGAAATAATTTATTTAAAGTAAAGTGACAAACTTCAAAAAATTCGTATCTCCCTGGTGGAAAGTCGTAGAAATTTAGAAGTTCTCGCAGTTTGTAGAGCACATGTCACTCTATCATGATGCATCATATTTGTCTCAAAAATGATATTTTCTAAAATGAGTGGAAGTGTACTCTTAAAAGAAAATGTGCAAACTTGAGTTTCTTTAAACTGACGAGGGAACATATCCAACTGCCAAATCGCTTTTCTAACGAAATGCGGTAGCTTATAGGTAATCGATCATGCTGATTCCGAATATGATAGCCGTTTTGGCTAATAGGCCTTTCCTAATCGGTTTCTGGAAAACCAGTTTTCCAGAAACCTCAAAAAATCCCCAAGAATTGTTTGATTAAGTCATAACTGTAGCCCGCGAAATTCTGATTAAAATGAGACATCTACCAGCTCTACACGATCTTT